GAAAATGCATGAAGCTGCTTTGTTGCACTGCCCTGCAGAACAGTATCAAACTTAGCTGTAAACTTTTTTTTTTTTGGTGGATAAATAGGCTACATTTAGCCATGTGTGTGAAATAAGAGAAAAAAAAATTGTAATTCTTTCTGTTCTGCCTGCTGAATGCACTTAAAAAATTGTGGGCTCAATATCCACTTGGTGCTTGTGGATTAACTGCAGTGGTATCTTGGGATGTATTAGGGAAGGAAGCTCCATTATATTGTATGCTGTTCAGGTATTTGTGTCTGCTGTGCTAAGAGATTAGTGTAGTAGCATTTAACACCCACACAGCACAAGGTTCAAGGCAGCAAGTGTCATTCCACCCCTGTGCCGAGAACATGCAGGAAAAATTGCTGTCCAGTTTTGTACTAAGGAGACTTCCTTGGTTTTTTCTACATTTTTTAAATTGTGATGCCCAGTATCTCTCTGTGGAGTCATGGGTAGCACTTGTTTTAAATTCTCATGCTAACAACAGCTACAGTCCTTTCAGGCTGTACCAGAAACCTGAACTCCGGTGATAGTCGTTATGCTGCTTGGCATTCTCAATTGTCAGCTGAAGTACTGAGATGCTAATTTATGCACACCTATAAGGAGGGTTTATTATAAGCTTATAACTTGTGTTTTTGATGTCAGGCTTGCTTTAAAGGGGAAAGTAGGAAGGGAAGGGGGAATGGCAGGAGTTGAATGAATGAATGGGGCAAACATATACAGACATTAGAAATTTTACCCTTCTTCTCATCTCTATTGACTGTTCTCTTGGCCCACAGGCCAAGAGATTCATACAACACCGCACACGCTGTTGATTCTGACAGTGCCTTTTTTTGTCATAGATGTGTATTGGTGCTGGCTAGAAAACTGTGATCTAGCTGTGTATCTCACATTCTTGACTTAAGCTACTAATTTTTTAATTTTAAGTCATAGCCTTTAGCTAGTAGTTTAAATCACCCTGACATTGCTTAGCTAAAAAAAAAAAAAATACTCTAACAACTCCAATATCAGCTAATTGGGAAAGATTATCTTAATTCAGGTTAGGAATCATCTCTTAACGACATTTCAGAGTAATTTTGTTTGTATAGCAGCGTATAACCCGCAGAAGAAGACAGGGCACATAAAGGCCTTGGGGAGTGCGAGGTGAGCAGCTGTGTGAGCCGCAGGGTTCGCTGCTGAGACGGAGATTGTGTTCAGCTTCTTTCATAGGTATGTCTCAGACTGAGAGGGCTCGTATTCTGCAGGCATCCAATGATTCCGAAGTGTCGGCATCTTTTCAAATTTGGGGCAGATGTAGCTGAGCTCTGTGTACTACAGAGCTGCTGGAGAGATCTGGAGAACGTGGAATCAGAGTCTGGGGAACAGAGAGCTTGGTATTCTGAAATGGAGAACCATGTGATATGCCTTTACATTTCCATGTACTGGCAAAATGTAGTGGGTTTTTTTCCTTCTTTTGCTTTCCAAATCCATAATGGCAATCTGTTATCCTTTTGTCTCCAGCTGCAGTTAGAAGTTCTTTCATTTTGCAGATATACACATGGATTGAAAATGTTTGTTCTGGAATATTAAGGGGCACCACATCAAGGAATTGAGTTGTTTTAACGGTAACAAGTGAATGGCATATGCATTCTAACGTAGTCATGAAAGGCAAATGTTAGTTGTTCCTCCCTATAATCCACTGATAACTGGATTTTTCCAGTTCATGGTCAATGGGAAATAAAGGTAGATGGCTAGAAAGGCACACTGAGCTCCAACTAAGTGCAGACTTCTCCTGTCTCCTGAAGGATGATTCGTTTGTGTTCAGCTGTGAAAAATTGTTGTCAAAGCATGTTTTGAGTAACACTTGATGTGGAGTTGAGGCTATCAATCTAAATACAGCTTTTTAGATCAGCTAGTCTGTGTTTGGAGCAGAGAGGTGTGGTGTCTTCTCTCTTTCTTGTATAATGACAGTTCCTGGGAAATGTGAAAATTCAGCTAGTTTCCTGCATTTTAGTTGGTCTTTTAGAGGAAGGAAAAGACACATCAGATACTGGAAAAATCTGTTCTGAATCTGTTCTGCGCCTGGAAACTGAGACAGAAGGATCAGACAAGCCTGTTATCACTTCTTAATTTTTTTCTTGTTCCCTCCAATCATATCTCATTCTACTAGAATAAATCTTCAGATTACCCCAATGGAAGAGAATTTTTGCGGGTTTTGTATGTATTTATGGCCTCCATACCCCAATTAGGTCTGTCACAGAAGTAGAACATTGACCCAGAAGATGTTTCAACCCTAAAATGAGATAAGTTGGCAATTTATGTGCATTTTTGTAAGTATTTCCAGAGGGAAAAAAATCTTACTTGCCAATAAAGCTACTGGTTTTAATTTAAAAAGGGGGATCAAACCAAGAATAACAGCTGTGATTCTAGAGGTTTCAGCCTGTCAGGAGTTTCTAAGAAGTAATTGCCAGAAGACTGGGAAAACTGGCTATAAGTCATCTATCTGTTTAGAAAATGTAAATTGCCAACTCCAGTGTAACTGTAGGAAAGAAACATCAGTCCATATTCATTACGTGTTATTACTCGTGGTACATCTGAAAGCTTTCTAAAGACCTGAGAGAATTCAAGTGGTGCCTCCTAACTTACAATTTAGTAGAATTTGTATGTAGAAAATAACGTATAATACACAGGAGCATTCATGTGTATGTGCAATTGGAATGTGTGGTGGTGCATATCAACAGCCTCTAAGGAGCAGAAAATTTGAATTTAGCCTGATGGTTCCGAGAGTATTAAATGGCATTAGCTGGAGGGGAGTTGAAAACAGAGTGTCAACCCCTAATAGAGAAAAGAGCAAGGGTGGGACATGAATCATGCTCAGAGCTCTGCTCATTTTCAGAGGTGGAGAATGTAACCAATTTTTTCACACCTTACATAGGAGATTCTTTGATGTCCCTTGAAGGAGCAAAATGGCTGAAGATTTTCCATGTGGTCTATAGATAACAATCCACAAATTCCCTCCTTTCTCTTCCTTCTGACTTTGCCCTATGAACCTGTCTTGTTTGGTGGGAAAATAATTGATGGTTTATACTTTCTTCAATCAAAACTCTTAAAGATTCCAATGGAAACATTTTGTTGCTTTGGAAATTTGAGATTGAGTCTACTTATTGAACAAGGCAAAAAAATGCAAACAGTAATAGACGAATTTTTAGATTTTAAAACTCCCATTGTGAAGTATACGTAAGCATAACTCATTCTGATGTACCTGTAAAAGGGTAAGGAGACACAGTCTGTTTTTATGTCAGTTTTGGATGCTGAACATGTATAGGTGAATATGTGTAAGTTTTATTTAAATTCAAATGTTGTTACTTTAAAATACCTGTGTTTTTTTAAATTATGTTAGAAATTGTTCATCCATGCTAAGGACTGAATATACTATAATATGCTGTAGACATTTAAATACAAATATTCTAGTAATGTCTGTTTTCTAATGAAGCTTTAAAAGCATTGAAACCACCAGAGAGCTGCAGTTAACTGGAGCCGGAATTTGTTTAAAAAACGTTTTGACAGAAGCAATTGTTCGGGGAGAATATTTTTCTCAGTTTTACTTCGTTCTGCTGTTCAGCTCTACAGGTAGCTTTTTTGGTTTGCTCGAAAGACAGAAACAGTTGAAATGAAAAAGTGTTCTGATAAACTTTATTTTGCGTCCTTATAAATTTATGGTAGTAATTTCATCAATAGCAGTAGGCTTATTTATGGATTTTAAGTTCTGTTCTTTATAAAATTTCCACAAAAAATGTCACAAGCCATACATATAAAATCATCTAAGAAAGTAATAATTTACAGTATTTTTAGCTATTAAAATATATGGGCAAATTCCACCCATATGTAGCAGAATGAAAAGTAAAACTGAAGACCCAAGACTTTCAGCATATATCTTTGTTTAGATAACTACAGATAGATGAATCTTTTTGAGGGGAGAAAATGTTTAATAGAATAGCTAATCCACTGTAAATCAATGCATTTTAATGGTTAACGGAATCAACTTTATGGAAATAACTGAAAAGCACAAATGTAAAAGATTAAAATTGATTATTTAAATAATGACCAAAATCTGCGATTTGCATCGTGATGAAAATCAATTAATCCTGCATGAAGCCGGGAATAAAGCTCTTTGCTCCTGACAGGAACAGCAGCATTGTTCAGCAATATCCTGCACATTTGTCAAGTTGTAGCTTGTTCAGGTCTCAAGAACAGAAGCACCCCAGTTGCTTTTAATGAATACTAGTGGGTTTCTCCTAGGTCCAAGAATTTGATCTGTAGGGTGATCCAGAGGTCAAGAACAAACAGCTCACTATCGCTCACCTCTGCGGAGCCAGGGCTTTCATTTGCTTTTTTTTAGTAACTCTAGAGGAAGTACCTTAACTCTTTTTCAGAAGCAAAATTTTAATTGGCAGAGATAATGCAGCTTTAAGAAAGTATAGACAGGTTCATAATCTCCTTTAAAAATAATATTTTGTGCAATATTTTTTTTTTTTTTTAGCCCAGGATAAATTTGGGGGGTTTCATCTAATGTTTTTGCATCAGCTTGAAATTATTTCTATAACTGTTTCTTTCCCTCCTTCATTTGCAATCATATTTTTACACAAGTAGCTCTAAGTTAGTACCTCTCCCTTCTTCGGATCAGTGTTTCAGACTTTATGTTTATCCTGTCAGAAGAGCATCAGATGTTGGGTTTTTTCTTTTCAATTATAAGTTTTGTAATGCATCACGGATTTTGCTGACAGTCTTCAAGTTCTTGAAATAGCAAGGAAATTAACAGCAGATATTGAGCGTGAGGACTGGAAAACCAATTGGCAACTCACATGATGGGATTCAGATATACTGATGGGTTGGAATGGATCTCATTTCTTTTATTTTCATAGTCTTAGTTGGCAATTAGC